GAACTCATGGCTCCCTGAGATTCCTATCTGATCTTTGAGTTGCTCTCATCAATTTGATCCCAAACAGATAGTTCTTAAAAGAGCATAATGTTCAAGACAGACCTTTGGTTACTAATTATGCTAAACTGTTGTTCAGTATTTTTAAGGACACCTGGTGGCACATGGTTAAGGCATTTGGCTGCGAACCAAAAGGTTGGCAGTTGGAACCCATTAGCCTCTTCACTGGTGAAAGATGTGGTAGTCTGCTTCTATAAAGATTTACAGCCTTTTAAACCTTGCGGGGCAGTTCTACTCTGTCCTATAGGGTCACTGTGAGGGTTCTGATTTCCCTTAAATCCTCACCAACATTTGTTTTTCCTTTTTAGCTTAGCTATGCTAGTGGGAGTGAAATGGTGTCTCATTGTGGTTTTGATTTGCATCTCTTAATGGCTATTGATGCTGATCATGTTTTCCATGTGTTTGGTGGCCTTTTGAATGTCTTCTTTGGTGAAATGTCTATTCAAGTTCTTTGCTCATTTTATGATTGGGTTGTCTTTTTGTTGTTGTCGAAGTTTTATATATGTTTTTATTATTAGATTCTTGTCAAGTATGTGGTTTCTGAAGATATTCTTCCAGTCAGTAGCTTGTCTTTTCACCGTTTTGGTAAAGTCTTTTTAAATTTCAGGAGGCCCTATGTATTTATTTTGTCTTTTTCTGGTTTTGCTTTCATTATTATATTAGATAACCCATTGTTGAAATCTAGACCTGACAGTGTTGCCCCTGCTTGTTCTTCTGAGAATTTTATAGTTTAATGTGCACATTTACGTCCTTAATCCATTTTTAATTTGGTTTTGTGTATGAAGTAAGCCATGGATCCTGTTTCACCTTTCTGTGTGTGGAAATCCAGTTTTCCCAGCACTATCTACTGAAGAGCCTCTTCTTTCCAAATTGAATGTACTTAGTACTCCTCGGAAGGAAGGTTGGGCAATCCTACTTCCGTAGTGATAACTGCCTAGGAAACCCAAGGAGGGGTCGTTATGAGTCGGGGCCAACTCAATGGCAAATAACAACAACAGTACCCTTGTCAAAAATCAGTTGACTAAAAATGTGTGGTCATTTCTTGACTCTTAATTCTATTCCATTGGTCTATGTGTCTATTATTATACTAGTACCAGGCTGTTCTGTTTACTGTAGCTGTAAAGTGTGTTTTAAAATCAGAAAGTGTGGGAGTTCTGGCAAGATGGCGGACTAGGCAGAAGGACTGCACAGACCCTCTTCAACAAAGACAAGGGAAACCAATTGACACAGACACAGAAGATAATCTTGGACCCCTGAGCCTTGAAGTGAAGGATACAGAAGTAGACTAAACCCCAACTAGCAGAAGAATTTGTGTGAAA